TCAATCGGTTTGGGAATTTTACCTTGACAATGGCCGTTTCGAACTAGTACTTGGTCTGCGCAATTTTCCTATAATTACTTCTACATTACTTCGGGGGTATGGGCCTATTTGGGCACGTCTCCTTCACGTGCTATCGTCTGCCGTCGGTATCACATGGATCATTCTTACTGATCCCAAAGTACGACCTTATTGTACAACAAGAGGGCAGTCTTCCGATCGTGGATTCAAAGGGCGTACTCACACCTACACTTAGATATATTCCTCGCGAAGTCGCTCCACCCACCTCCCCATCGCTTCTGCCATATCTTCACCTGTTGGTCGGCTTGTAAACTATCATTCATGAGATTGTTGAGTTCATTCATATATACGATGATCCCGGCATTCAGAAGCTGAGCACAGACCTCTTACCTGAATAGAATTTTGAACATATTTCCTTTTCGTCTTTTAACTGTATGCAATCCATGCCTATTGTTAAAGGATTGTACCTAAAAGTTTGGAATGAGTATTTCACAAAAAGCACATTCTCTTCGTCTCCATCTACCCCACCCCCGCATTCTCTCTCGGAAATTTGTGGATATGCTGGTTAGAGCAGTATACGTTGGTCCTATAAGACGAGTTTGAAACTAACTCCAACTAGCCAAGTGTCGTTCCGAAAACCTTGTTATTCCGGGTGCTATCGGAGGGCATGGACCGTCAGTGGCAACTTTTAGAAACACAGCTCCCCATCTTCACACATTTGCACCAATCACAGGCTTCAGAAGAGAAACAATTTATTGAGAACGAAATAATGTTGGACGCACGACGCAGTCCGATCACCGGAGAAGGTGGTCGATTCTGCTCGGAATTCTCACAATCCCACCAAACAACTTCCCCACGCGACCTCATCATCACCATCACGAGACAGGTTAGCATCCGACAACAAGCAGTCACAGCCAAAGACATCTGCTTGCTTAAAGGCTTTATTGGAAAAGAGATGGTGTTAAAAAGAATTTCTATTACAGACATACACTACTGCCCTAATCAAATATGGTCGTTGTGTAGGTCATACTAGTACACATTACAGTAAGTGATAGCATGCATCGTCGGAACTGCCAAGTACACAGCAGCCTATACCTGACAACGGCGGCATCGAGAAAAATCACAGACCCACGCTAGCCTCCCCATCTCCGTGCACACTTGCCGCAACCGGGCTTATGCAGAGCACTTGCAACCAACAGTGCATTCTCAGTTGATCTGGCCACTGTGCCCAACGAACAGGGCGCCGGCCAGAGATCCAACGAGACAAACCGCTCCGCCCCCCAATCCAAGCATGAGGACGTGCACATTATAGCACACATTATCCAACAAAAATTCCCAAATCACAACAGGGCACACTAGGCAGCACAGCAGAGATGTGGAAGTTGGAGAAATCAGTTCAGAAGACGTCCATGAAAATGAATGTCGAGGTGGGGGAGACTATGGATAGAGTAGGACACGAGATTCCGATAGCCACGGCACGGACTCTAATATCTCACCGTATGACTGGTCACATATGTCTCGTGTCTTTGTGCATTGCAAGGACACTTTTACACATTTCCTTATTGCTTGCATTTGCACGGCAATATCTGAACTTGAGACTGCCTTTAGATATTCCGATATTCCCAAGGCTCGTCATCGTGGGTAGATGGTTGACTGTTAGCCTACAGTCACTGCTTCATTTTAAATGGTAAGAATACTTTACGTCAAGGACAATTACATTACAGATTATTTAAATTGCATGGACAACTTAGGTGAGGTCTTCCTGCTGATCCGTCACTTGTCTTTGTAATAATGGGCGTTCTACAAATAGACTTGGCGAGGGGAGCGATTACGCTTGACGCGGACAAGTGTATAGGGCTAGATGTCTGCGATTCGTGCAAATGCATTACATGTGGTGTTGCAAACAACCTAGTTGTAACTGAAGCTCTGTCCGGAAGATCGAGGTGACAATTGAGAGCCTCCGTTTTCCACGAGATCAGCGTGTCGAAGTGCTCGCGGATTCCCACGACAGAAACGTATGAAAAGGTTTTGATCAGCTTTACATTACGCATTTGCCCATTACGCTGACTGCTGGCCATCCGGCGTCCGCACTGGTGTCGGATGTTTCATGGGCCTTCGGCAAGGCTGCATACGGCATAAGAATGACCAGTGACGAGCCGAACCCCTCGCAACTGCGTCAGGCAGCACTATAAGATCGGCGAAACACGCGTGTCTGGGCTTTTAGCTAATACCCGTGTTGTTAGTACGGTAAATCATTGCACAATTCTACACTACTGGCTGCCTGTTGGCGGTTTGTGAATATTAAGCGGTTATTCCGCAGTAGCTGATGGATTTCAGCTCAAATATTCATATCAAACTTCGGACCGTGCCTGAAAAGGTCTGTTTCGAAAGAGTTACTCCAAGTTCGCGCATTAACTTCCTCGGAATTAAAAAAAGGCAAATAAGAGTGACCGTACGGGTGACGAATAAACAGTGGCGGACGAAATCCCCAGTGTCACTGGGGCATGGACAGTCGAGATCTGGAACACGGACTGCCTCAACATGTGCCTACAATCGCACGATGTCAATCTGATATCAACGACCCTGGACGGTCAGTAGATAGACACAATTGAAAACGTCGTTGTTAAGTTACGACGAGCCAATGCGTAAGAGGAGACAACTACGACGACGAGGACGACGACAACATGGGCAATCGGTGAGGAGCACACACCGACAGTCATGATGCTACCTCATGATGATGATGGAGGTCGGCTAGACGAGGCATGGTGGATCTACTGACCCTGGACGGTCAATAGATAGACATAATTGAAAACGTCGTTGTTAAGTTACGACGAGCAAATGCGTAAGAGGAGACAACTACGACGACGAGGACGACGACAACATGGGCAATCGGTGAGGGCACACACCAACAGTCATGATGATACCTCATGATGATGATGGAGGTCGGCTAGACCAGGCATGGTGGATACCCCATGAAAGAAGGACAGTGAATGCATTCACGAGGCGGTTTTCCCTGATTCGACTATGCATAGCGTTGTCGACAAGTTGGGTGCGATTCCAGATCGCCCCCGAGACAAATCAATCACTACTCATGAACTGAGTGCAATTCTATACAACCACACTAATCCGGCCAGTCACTTCCCAATCTATATTCAGACGGACGATACGGGGTATGCACCACGAAATAGGTCCATTGCACACAACGTCTCGGGATGTTCAGACACAACATGAGTCACCAGGCTAGATGGATATACACAATCGCAACACGAGATAACCACGTCGCAAACCAGGAAATGAACCACGTCCAACACTGTAAACTCCATCACCACTACCACCACCACCGCCACCACCAGCCTCAACAACAGCACTGCCTGTATCGCAAACACCACCAGGTCAGCCGCCAAAAAACGCGTCCTGTCCTTTAAACCACCGCATATTAACATCACGCATCAGCCCCATCGGTCATTTGCTGATCCATAGCACTAGCACTGGATACTTAGCGTCAGGAGACCAAGAATACACACACAGAACGCATATCCCACGCCGCCCAAGGCCATTCAACCATCTCATGGCCTATTCGGACATATGCGCCTCCATGCAAATCGGAGACAAAACAGCCCACTCCAAACCCCATCAACACATCTCATTCCACGAGCCAACATCTCATACACGAATTCCACCCAAACTTAGCCTGCCAAGCAGACAGACAGATGATTCAATCAAAATACGAGACCACGTCATGTGTAGCACCTATACGAGATTCTGCAGCTCCACCAGACACGGCGTCCAATCCTAACACCAGTAAGCTAAAAGACTCGGACGGTGGACTGACGAGTGAGAGAGGGGGAGTGAGCTGAGGCCGACTCTCGTAATCCTATCCACACGACACACCAACTAATTCCTCACTATGATAAATATGACGCCTTCGAATATACCAACATGCGTTAAAAGTGTCGCGGTTGAAAGACTGCCAAGTGAGGATGTAAAACGTTCCTCGCAGTTCACTTCTCGTGAAAACAAGGAACATTGTGTGAGGCGCATGCAGACCGGCTCTTCTGTTCCGTCAGCTAATGCACCCAAATCCGCCTGTGATCGTCCCGACTGCCTCTTGCCGTTGAACCACTGCGGGTGAATAAGGGGAGAGTGAGACAGTCTCCCTGCAAGTCTCCTTTCCCTTACATCTAATACATGCGCACACCACTGCTTTGCACGCCCCAACTTCTGCAACACATGGTGGATATCGTCTATGTCGGTGGTGTAAATGACACTGGCGTTTTCGCAAATGCGTTATCTACTGCGTAGAAATGAGGACAGAATAAAGAGCCTCTCGAATATCATCTCTCCACGGCCCCATTTCATCGAGAACAGGGCAGTTCGCATACAAACGATTTTGTGCGTTTGCTTATACATCCTGCTCACATCACGTTTATTGTCCACATCAAGCGCCCTCATCTCACTCGCCTGTCCACCCATAAACAGACACCACATCCTGCAGAAACAAGTGTCGGAGCATCAGTCAGACATGCCGTAATGCTGCATCTAGAAGTTGATCTCTTCTTCAGTTTAGTGTACACTAGTGCTGTGCATGTGTGAATGCCTTTAATCGTGACAAGAAGCGTGCCTAGACAATCTACGCTATATGCGAAAACGAGTTCTGGGATGATCGTAATATCTGTAGGCAAACTCAATCAAAATGCTTAGCGTACATAAGAGCAATGAGAAAATATGTAAAAGTGCCCTCACATCATGCAACGATGTGGCGTCTATGCGACTGAGTATACCGTCAGACACCAGAGTACACTGTGCAGTCCCTATCAAAATCCGCCTCCTAATCTAATCCACTCTCCACTCCTCTGCCTTCACTTCCATCTACGTCCTCTGAACTGAACTTCCACATTCTTCAATTACTGCCAGGTGCCGGCTGCAGTGACTGGGAATTTGAGTGAATAATATCTGCCAAATGAACATACCCACAGGTTTGAATGGAGGACGATGTGATCTGCCTCATCAAATCGGTGGTGGCCCTGTCCGGAGGACGCGAGTGCCAAACCCGCCGTAAATGCACTTTGCGTTGCAAGTGCTCCAGACAAGCTCGCTCACGACCAGCGTACAGGAAACGAGTAGGCCAACGCGAATCAACGACTCCTCTCGATGCCACCACCATCGCCGGCGCGGAAGCCTCTGCTCTTGCTGCTGCTGCTTCTGCTGCTGATGTTGTTGCTGATTCTGATGCTGATGTTGTTGTTGGTTATGTTGCTGTTGTCGTTGTTGTTGTTGATTTTGTTGTTGTTGTTGTTGTTGCATTCCTGCCTGCCTGCCAACCATCGGCATGGAAGATCACGTCGATCAAATCAAATCACTGACAGCGACCCTGTCCAGTGGACACAAGAGCCAAAGCCGCCGTAAGTTCACTCTCTGTTGTATGCAAGTGTTCAGATGAGTTCGCTTGCGTCCAACGTATAGGACGCGAATAGTCCAACAAGAAGTAACCGTTCTCCTCCATCCGACCGCCACCGCCACCGCCGACGCCGACGCCTCTGTTGATGTCGCTGTTGACGTTGATTCCTGCCTTCGGTGCAGTTCATCACACCAACATAGGCCGGTTGACGACACTTGTAGGCGCGTTGACGCCTTCGTCGCCCCCACCAACGTTACTGCTTCCTGTGTCCCTTCACCATCTTCGGGCAACCTACAGGATAACAAGACAGTCCTCGTCAAATCTGCTCCACTGTCTCTCTACACACTCAAGCAAATAACAGGGTCAGAGTACTCACCCTTTCAACCATGCAGCCTTCAATGCACAAATGGCATTCGCGAAGGTCCAGTGGCATTTTGTAACCACCGGACCAATCTCCTTATCCACGTTTCGGCCGACTTGCACTGCACTTCGCATATCCGACTGTGATATCTACGAGGAGAGAGGAGTGGATGAAAAGTCAGTGTCGGGCAACTTACGCGACAGCCGCAGTGTGTATGCAAATGATGGGACCTGGTCACTTCCAGGTCCATCATCTCCCCTCCTCCCCCGACCCCCTTCGAAGACAACGTACGCCCTCGAGAGGCTAGTAGTCTGTCATGTATATGAGGTGTTAAGGTGCACCTACCTGACTGACAGTCTGCATCCTGATCATTTCGCACACTTTTGTGTGCGAAATGAAGTCCGTGACCGCCTGAGCTGCTACGAAATGTGGCCCCGCAACAGACGACCTTGAGGTTGGGTCCCACTGCCTCAAAGATCGGTTGAGGGCCTTCGTGTCCACTTTCGGAACACTATTGTATTTTCGGTATTCCTCGCAATGTCTCCCCAGATAGGCCATAAGCCATTGCGTCCGTGTATTATTTGTTTTGACTGGACACTGCACTCGTCAGGCCTCCTATAAGCCATCTTGTTGATGGCCGAGACCAGACCACCCGAATTCCAGAGGTAGGAATGAATTCAGGCAGTCTCTGCACCACCATGTCTGATGGCACCCTTGCCAGCAGAGACAAGGGCTGCAGACACCTTGTCAGTGCGAATTGTTCGAAGACAATGACGGGCAGGGCATCTCAGCCAATCGCAACAGTGCATTTAAAGGCTGATCGATTGTAAGAGATCGATACGCGCAGGACGTTGCCGCCCACGTGTCTGTTGTTATGGTTGATTGTTCAAGGAATTGCCCATTGCATGGGGTTACGAGGTGTCCACACTGCCAACTCCTTCGTCTATTTTATAGCGAGTAGATGTATTTAAGTAAGCACAAATTGTGACTGCGTGAGTGCATGCTTAAGGCAGATGGGACGGGAGTAGCATAATTAGTGGAGAGGCATTGGAAAGTGTAAGATGCTAGTCAAATGGACGAAGAAAGATATTAGGCAGAGAATGCCAGAAAAAAACCATTTCGACAGCAGGATAAGGACACAGTTCACCATTCGAATATACTTGTGCACAATTTCGCAGAAAGTTGGCTAGGAATTATTTGCCTTCCCCACAGAAAGTAACCATTCCTCGTTGACCTGTGTGTTGAGATGTTAGCCGACAGTACTGTATCATATCATTTCAAACAGTAGCGTAAATTAAGAGACAAAGCAAATCCTATTGCGCAAATTCTAAATGATCCCTAATTTACGTCGACATTTTATGACTAGGTATGCGTTTTTCGACCATTTTTTCCAGGATGTTGCCCACGCATCCCACGAAGTTGCGGTTTAAACATTTACTGTAGAGATAATCGTATTAAATGTCAATCAGAAAAGTTCACTCTAATTACGTAGTCGAATTTCCCAGATAACCATAACACGCCGAGCACGCCCTAACACACCTCTCAATACGGATGGCGTGGGAACGATGAGTGTTAATAGCCCCTGCATCACTCATAAACCCTGTAACTTCGCATATTCTCAACTTCTATGTAACCGTTTTGGCCTGATGCCGAGTTACCGAAAACATGTGTTTGCCAAATTGACTTTTCATTTCATTAAATACCCGCACCTACTGTAACAGAAGTGGCATATATGGAGTTCTCTGCATAAAAGGTACAAATGTCCCAGGTTTATGTTTCACCTTCTAATCTCTTTCCACTCCACACCGACAGTCTGAAGCCGCCAAAGACCTACCGCATGTTAAATATACATAAATAACTTGTTTTATATACCACCTCTATTGTGCTTTCGTAGTAGGTAAAAATAGATTTTCGAGTGAGTTTTAGAACAAGTAGGCAGACACTGTGTAGTTTTCATTTTCTTCTTATAAAATGGACGGTTTAGTATGAAAAACTGCTATCGAGCGCTGAAACGAGCTCTATCTTTCCTAAAAAAGGTCAAATAAACGTGATTTAATTGGTGTTTAAGAGGAAAAAATATGCCGCTAATGGGAAGTTAAATATGCGGTTCGGACAGGACAGTACGGCAGGTAGGAGTATAATAGGAGATTTGTAACGGTTCCCGTCAAGGTTGAATTCCTAATCGGGGTGAGGCTCTTCGCTGTCGATGCGATGCTAATATTGTCAGGTTGACGGCCGACAAAACCGTCAAGGTGGCGAGACAGGAGACACCCAACCCGGTCGGTCACAGTTCACATAGAGTTCAGACGATGGAGCTATCTCTAAGGCTGTGGGGACTATCAGAGTGCGTGGAGATGCTACTATGGTACTTGTTTACCGACCGACCAAACGATCATGTTGATTTTCATAGGGGTCGAAATCTCAGAGGCTAGAACGGACCCCTCATGAGTGTCGGTAATTAGCGAAACGGAGGCGGCTTAGGTCGTACACGTCGACCTGGCCCCGCTACTTCTTTGAGATGGTGTTCTGTGAAGGACATGATGCATGGACTGAAAAATAGAAAAAATCGCAATTGATGATGAAATATCCCATAAAACGAAACCATACACAGGGAAGGAGATGTGAGCGTACACGGTAATTTGGCGTCGGCGGCGTTCTAAATCCCTGATGGCCCTTTCTCAGTGTCATACAGAAAGTGTTCGGGAAGGATGAAGGAAATAAAAGTTTAATCGATTCAGTATTCACCGATTACTGTAAATGCAACCCTTGACAAGAAAGTTTAAGAAAGGAATTTTTCCTGAAAAGGCGCAAAATATAAAACGCGCGGCAAAAGTATTTACGCCAGCTATATGTACAAATATGTAGCCTG